TCCTCTCCCCGGCAGGTCATCTATCAAGTTCCTCTAAAGGAAAATCACGTCTTGAAGAGAAATGTGGATCAGCAACTAAGAATTAAGATTATATATGACGGAAGTATTGAGGAGTGAGTATAACGTTGTGGCAACTTTTTTTCCTCTCCATGTCTGAGAATGAAAATCCTATTAACTAAAGCTTGTTTGTTTTGGTTTGTTTTTTAAATACAGTTTGCTGCCTGAGAAAAGACACCTTATAAAGGTATGCCATATTTGCTTCTCCTTTTTGTTTGTATATAGTTTGTTACAGGGGTGAAGTTAAGTTTAAGGCCAATTTACTTAAAGGCTTTGAATACCAGAAATTTCATATCCTCTAGTCCAGGAAACCAAGGCTTTGTGTACAGATTATGCTTGCATTCCAGATACTTCCGATGTTCTTTTGAATGTTGTTTGACAGGTGTTTGCTGTATCCTGAGGTGCAAAAGTTTCAGTAAGCGATACGTATATAGTTTTTAAAGCCTCTTTGAAGCTGTGTATTCACATTAATACTGGCTCCCTTCTCATTTTGTTGTTCCAATAGCAAAATATGGGAATACTAAAACCATAATAAATAAAAATAATAAAAAATATATTTAGGAAAATATATTTCCTAAATATATTGGTAGCAATTGAACTTCTTAGTAAGTCTGGATTTTTGCTATCCTGCTGTACCACAACATGTAGCAAGTTTCAGGTAACTTGATTGTTAATGCTTTTAAGGTGAGTTGTGTCTGTGCTGCTACTGACTTTTATTTTTGTCCTATTCAGAACAAACTTTTTCCACAAGCTATATCTTATTTGGAGAAGACGTTTCAAGTGCGCAAATCCACGGGTACTATATTACTGAGTAGGTATGTGAAAGTTTGTTGAAAGTCACTTGCTATATTTGATATTTAACACTGCATTGTGTGGCCTTTAAGATAAGAATAGAATGTGAGTGTGAGAAATGTCCTCTTGAATCAGACCAGTGACCCCTCTGACCTAGTGGTGGTAGCAGACGTTATTTAGGAAGATGTCATGGTTTAGCCCAGCTGGCAGGTGAGCTACCACATGGCCACTCGCTCACTCCTTCCCCTGCCCTGGTGGGGTGGAGGGAAGAAAAATACAACAAAAGGCTTGAGGATTGAGATACGAACAGGGAGGGATCGCTCACCAACCAGCGTGGAGTCCCTTCCTACGGACTGCAGCTGTACCATCATTCTCCACCATCATTCTCCAGCAGTGTGGGGTCTTCTCCCACGGGCTGTGGGTGGATCTCTGCTGCACCATTAACCTCCATGTGCTGCAGGGGGATCTCAACTTCAGCACAGCTCCTCCCGCTCCATCTTCACTCTCCTTGGTGTCTGCGTGGCTTTTTCTCTCGGGTCTCAGTCCTCTCTCTGCTGCAGCCTCACTGGGCCCAACAAACCTTGGTGGTCCTGGCAGGATGACCTCCACCCAGCAAGCACCCTGGGAGCAGGGTGCTTCGGAGCTCTCCAAGCCGCTCTGCTGCAGCCATCTCCACTCAAGTGGCAGTGGCCCAGTGCGGGCAGTTGCCCATGCAGGAGGCCAGGGGCCAGGCTCCGCCCTGCCTCCCTCCTCTCTTCACTGCAGGTCCTGTATGGCACGGATTCCTTTGTCGCCTTCTTAAATATGGCATTCGCAGAGGTGCTGATTGGCTCGACCCTGGCCGGAGGCTGGTGCAACTGATTTTGGAGCTGGGGAAGCTTTTTGCAGCTCCTTAGAGGGGCTACCCCTGCAGCCCCCTCCCCTGCTGCCAAAACGCCACCACATAAACCTGGCACAGGAGAATACAGAGTGTGCCAACCTTCCATGATCAACATCTATGTTTCTTATGCCAGAGATTTTAAAGGGTATACATGGTACCCCTGTTTACAAATCTGTTCCTAATATCTCTTTGAACCTGTGGATACTCCATTACCAACTGGAAGCATTGTGTCTTCCATAGCAGGGTAAATAACGTTTCTCACCATGGAAGTTCTATTTAATATCTGTATTACAGTGTTGTTGGGTGCTGTAAGACTATTCTACAGGGTTTTTTTTTAAGTATAAACCAGTGCTGACTGTCTTTTTGTGTTTGATTGAAGGCAGTGTGCAACAAACCAGTATTTCAGGAGGAAAGCAGACCCTCACAGATACTGCCGAGGAGGCTGCGCAGACCATACAAGATGTGGGCCAGTTATAGTTCCTGAGAAACACCTCCAGGTAAGCTAAGCCATCCAAGTGCTTCTTGACCTCTGAAATATTATTGTTTGTGGAAATTAATTAAAAAGTTAATATCGTGGAGTGTGCATGTGACCTGTTTGTGGGAGATCACTAAGTTTGAGTAGAACAACTTGAGTTAGTGGGAGTTTCTTTAGTTAATGCTGTTAAACCAAAAGTCAAGTAAAACTGACATGTTTTCTGTTCTCTAAGCCTGTGTTACAATGAGCCGTACAGAGAGGATGGGATTCAAAGTTCGTTAAACTGCTACTAGTCACTTTGTTATTCACCTTGGCCAATGAGTCAGATTTTCACAGAATTAATAATAAATTTTGATTTTTTTGAAGACCTTACTTGAAGAGGGTATCCACTGAACCAGGAGCATGGTGCAGGAAATGCTTCTAACTTGTTTTCTTGTTTGAATTTTTGATTCAACTACAGTATGTGATCAGTAGATTTCTTTCATTCTTTTAACTTGAAGTTTTGACTACAGTATTAAAACTGTACCAGGGTGCATGTGAAATGCAGTTGCTACTTATGTATACTATTTCTGTAACCTCAATTTTTTTTTAATTTATAGGAAATAAAGGGTGCTAATTTGGGGATATTAAACTTGGCAGGCTCTTTTTTTCAAAAGCTACCACCTTCCTGGTGTCTAATAAATCAAAAGAGCTAGTCATTTGGAAGTTATTCCTTGGCACTGGTTTTGTGTACTGTCTTCATAAGGAGTTTTCTCATCTTCTGCTGTCTTTCAATGGGATTTATTCTTGGCTTCAAGCTAACTGAATTTTGTCATGCTAAATTTCTGTCATTTCTAATGTATTTTAATTGTTCCATTTGAACATTGTCAAAGCAATGCAGAGTGTGCAATGAGAATGGATGGCACTGCAGACCCACTGGCTTACCTGACCAAGAAGGGGTTCGAGACGCTGACTTTGTACTTTATGTTAGTGCTCTCACCACTGAAAGGTGTGGCCATGAAAATATCATTGCATATGCAGCCTACTGCCAACTGGAAGCTGAAATGGACAGGCAAGTATTCACTCTGGTGCAAACTCTTTTTTTTTTAATTAAACTTTCAAGTTTTTGGTTGTTTAGATGTGGAGTTTAGTCGTTTACCTGTCTTGTATAGTAAAGCAAAGTAGAAGTCATTACTGAAATAGACAAGCAGTGTATTTATGTAAAACCACAAAACAATCACGTAATGGTTAACTTAGAAAGCTGAGAGATTTAAGTTAAATCTGATCCGCCACTGTTACTGCCTAAACTTTATCTCAGCATCCTGCTTCTGTTGAAGAGAAGGTCATACTTTCATGAATTTGAAGAAGGATGCGAATGGGCCCTGCTTGTGGGGCTTTTGTTTCTAGTTGGCTTGTAGTCAGTGTAACAGACACTTGGTACCTCTGTAGCGTCTTACCGAAAATTCAGATCTCCTGTACTGTTGTCACGAACTCCTGTGCAGAACACCGAGCGTGGAGGCTGATCCCATCCCTCCCCATTTCAAGGGCAAACTAGTCACTGTGTTGTTAACAGACTATTCATTAATGACTGGGGAAGTTGTTTGGAAGGACTTATTTTCACGTTAGCCTCCATTTTCTTTTAAATACTCTGCCTCTTCAAGTGAATATGATTTGAATTTGCTAGCATTTTACTGAAAACAATTTAATTCTAAAACTCTCTTCCAGGCCAATAGCAGGATATGCTAACTTGTGTCCAAATATGATTTCAACGCAAGCTCAGGAATTCGTTGGCATGTTGTCTACAGTGAAACACGAGATTATCCATGCACTGGTAAGGGTTGATGTTATAAAATGTGTTTCCCTGAAATTTGTACCTGCTTTCTCACATACCTCCAGCTTGTTGCAAGAGAAGGATGTTTGGTGGAGGAAAGCTCTTGCTTTCCTTCCTTCAATTTGTGTGTTAAATTGCTTTGAGGTTCGGTACTCCCAGTGTGTGTGCTGCAGGAGTGGTAACTCTTTCATGGCATTTGACTCTGGATGTGACTGTCTTACCAAAGGTTTCCATGTGCTTGGTTTTTAACTTGAAGGGCTTCTCTGCTGGACTGTTTGCGTTTTATCGCGACGATGATGGAAAACCTTTGACGACAAGATATGCAGATGGACTTCTTCCTTTTAATGAAAGGTATTTTATTTTTTTTGGGCCTCTCAGTATTCCTATTGAAGAATATTTTCACATTGCCTTTTTAGGATGTATTCTTGCCTGTTGAAAATCCAATTTGATTCCATTGTTAGAATCCTGTCCTTTTACTATGTTCAAACATTGGCGTGGGGTGGTTTTTTTTAGTCTTTCTTTACATTGGAATTATGCACTTATTATCCACATATATTACAAACTAAGGCAGGATTTCATTTATCAGGAGGCTTGAAGTTAAGCGTGCTTAAATGTCGATGCTTGCTGAACACCTCACTAAATTGAGACTTGTATTTTCTGTAGTCTGTCTAATGTCAGTGAAGTTCGGTTTTAAGACATATATTGTTCAAATTTTATAGTTTTGCAAAACTGATAATGTGTGTAGTCTGCTGTGTGATTTTTCTGACTTGTTATTGAATTAACAGTTTGCTTTTTTCCTTCATTTAGTTGATATTGTAGGAATGTTCTTCTAGACTTTTTTCGGAGGTGGAAGGGTAGAGAGCTTTTGGTTTTGTTCACCTTCCTTTTTATCATAGCACTTCTGAGGATTTTTATTTAATTTCTTACACTTTGGGTAGCTGTAGAAAATACGTTTTGAGTCTACAGACGTATTTTTAGTAATCTTACTTTGGCTGTTTAAATCAGAGTTGTGTATGTAATGAATGCCTTGTATCTCTTACAAAGGAGAAATGTTGCCTAATAAATTTAAACTTCAGAAAGCATGAGGAAGTGTAGAGATTATTCATGATTCTGTTTTTTATGGAGATAAATCTTGCACGGTAGTGTGTATTTGTGGGAAAGATTTGTAACCAAAACATTCTTCTTACAGTCTAGGTTTGTATCAGTGGAGCAATAAAGTCGTTCATAAAGCAGTGAGGTTATGGGACATCCGTGGTGGCAAAATGCTGCACCATGCTGTTTATCTTCTGATAACACCTCGTGTAGTTGTAAGTATGGATGTTAAACTTTTACGCTTTGTATGCCAAAGTTACTGTCATGTTCTCGAGTCATAAATATGTCTTATTCTTTACGAAGTAATAACCTAACATTGAATACCCTTTTCCTGAAAGTACGGCCCAAAGACTACATGATGAGTATACTCAATTAGTATAACTAGTTGAGAGGGTGGATTCAAAGTAAAGTGGAAAATGGTGGACAGGACAGTATGAAACAAATAAATTGACATAGTAAGAAACAATGAAGGGACTGGGAAATAAATTATAAAAGGTTAAACAAAACTGGTGTTGAATAGATTCCTTAATCCTGCCCTTTAGATGTTTTCCAACAGACTTAGACACCTAGTATTGCCGTTGCCTTAACAGATAGAGTCTTGTCACTGCTTTTCTCATTTGTAAGTTCATCCTATTTTCTACTTTTCTCTAAAAGCATTGTTTTAATCTCTTTCAAATTTTACTGATTGCAAAATAATGCAGTTAACATTTTGTCATGTTTAAAAAGAAATTCCTCAAGTATTCTTGGAAATCTTTCTTGCTTCCCACACCTCTGACTCTCCCCGCGCCCCCCTCCCCCAAAAACATATGCTGAAGTGTAATGGATTGGTATTGGAAATAAATTACTGTGTTAATCATATGTGGCCACAAATAATATTTTGTTTATTTTAAATCTAACATGGTATATAGAGCAAACTTGGTTTAATTACCCCTGCTTTGAAAGCTGGCCATGCTGGTCAAACTGTTTAGAGCATTAGAGGTGCTTCTGGGTAAGGCCACCCCGGGGAAGCCTGGGCTCCTGACTGTCAGACCACAGCGTTGATGTAATGCCTCTTAAAATTTTCAAATGTTTTGCAGAAAACACTTCTGCATGCAGAAACTAGTTGACACATACACTTTCCTAACAGAAACGTGGTTGTTCTCTGAAACGTGACAGAAGCAGGGTTGTAGTGTTCCTACATTGTTTGGGTGGTTTTGTTGGTTGTTTTTTTTGTTTTGTTTTGTTGTTTTCTTTTAATATATGATCTTTAGTGTATGCATGCTATTCTCAGCTAATTCTGTTGCTGTTTTGTTCCTGTAAACTTCCATCATTTATTTCCAGGCGATAAGTAGACAGATTGTTAGACTTGGTGTTGGGGTAGTTGCTGGCTTAGTCAGACTCTGAGTAGGAGAAGTGTTTTACATTTGGAGGAAAACAAGATGGCAGAAAAAAAAATGCTGAAATCCTTCTAAAAGATAATTCTAGAACATTAGGACTGCATATGCGTATCTGTCTCAATATTTTGAGAGCTGTGTTAAATGTTTTCTTTCTAGGAAGAAGCTCGAAAACATTTTAATTGTCCAATCCTAGAGGGAATGGAGCTTGAAAATCAAGGTGGCATGGGTACTGAGCTCAATCACTGGGAGAAGAGATTGTTGGAGGTTCGTCCTGATATTAGGAATGGAGGGGGATGTGGGAATGTCTGCTCCTCCCCTCCTTTATTTTTGTTTTTACAGTGGTACATACTGGAGCCTTGAAAATGCTGGTGTGTCAAACCTCACTGAAACATATCACAAGCAGTACTGATCTACAAATGTGTAAATGTCCAATTTCTAGTTAAATGTATCTTTTTACCTCATTGCTAAGTCTCAGAGTATGCATTTGAGATAAGCTGATTACTAAAAAACTAAACGTCTCTTACTTTTGTCTGCCATTTACCCTTCTGAGAAGGTATGCTTCCTTTTTTTGGGAAAGGGATGTTCCTTTGAGTCAATTCAACTTTGTCACCCTCTGCCTCTTATACATCAAATATTTGATCATTCTGTCTATTCATTATCTTGACTTCATCTTTATTCATCTGCCCTGGGGTTAGCTTTTGCCATCTCTGTTCTTGAACCTCATCTAATCAAGGAAACACTTATTTCTCTCCTGACATTTAAGCTTAGTTTTATTTATAACTTTGAGTTTTGTGATATTTTTGGCAGAGATACACTTTCTAGTTGTTGTTGTATGCAGTGAGGCAAACAAGAAGGAAAATGCTTCAGGACAGACCTTTTTGTGGAAATAATCACGAAAAATGTGTATTTCTTGAGACTGAAATTGTTAGTGTTTCTTACTTTTCAGTAACCTTTGGTGTGGAACAGTAGTCTAAAGCCAACTGGAAAGACTGCCATTAGAATGAGGATAATTTTAAGGGTTGCGTAGGATTAGCAAAAAGGAAGTAATTACTAGTCTCCTTCACACCTTTCCAGAGAAGGTTTGTATCTGGAAAGTAACCCATATAGTTTGGTTTTGGTCTTGATCCAGCTGTCACTAAGTAATGTAGTGATAGCAAATTTGGTCTTAAGTCTGCTGGTGCTAACTCCTCCTAACCACGTGGAGACAGAAGGCTGGAAAACTACATGTTTTGAAGAAACAATAGAAATGAGATGAAGTTCAGTAATAGGAAACTCAGAGTTGTGTAATTAAGGGTGAGTGACTTCTACTGTAAGCCTAAATTTTATCAGATGGAAGTGACTGAGCAGAAAAGAGATAGGGGTGTTACAATTGTGAGTTGTAAGATGATTAGGACACTCCAAGGTGACCAGAGTTGCTCTTTGAGGATGGTGTGAACTTGCCTATTCTTAAATGAGATGTAAAATTCCACTGCCACACAAATAAAGCTTCCTTTGGAGTGCTGTGTTCCTTTAGTCATGTGTCCTGTGCACCTCGCTCCTGAAAAGGACTACTAGAAATTCTAGGAAAATTAAAAATCAGGCTTGCACAACAAAATTAAATGAGCTTGGCTTTCATCTTACCAAAAGGAGACAGCAGATGTGGCGTGACTGCTGCTGATAAATATGCCAGAAGAAGGAAGAGTTTTATTTTACCTAAAGTAAAATGAGAACTTATTGGTCACGAGTAAGGTTTAGCTGGAATTTGGAATGAGGTTTCTGACTTC